CTTGGATAAACTAGCCCGCACCGCTGCCTTGAGTTTTCGTAATTTTCGCTATGCGGCATACACACGGTGGGTACAGGCACCAGCACCAGCGCCAGCACCACCACCATGAAGCGCGAGAGCACGCGGCGTATGCTTAATATTTCCGCCGCATCCTATGCGCATATTCATTTTTGACGAAGCTTTGACGGCGTCCGTACGTTGACCGCTGGGGAATCGTCGTCAGGGGGGCGAGAGAGGGGGGGTTGGGGCTCCTGCATTAGCGTTTAATAGTAGACGACGCTGTCCCGTCCCGGGAGTGTCCTGCAGCTGCTGCCTTGGCTGCCATCTTGCCTGCTGCACGGATACCCCGTGGTTGTGACCTAAATTTCACAGTTTATGAAAAATATATGTGTGTGCAATATGAAACGTTTCCCCCCCAGCTGCATGCATAAAGCGCAAGCTAAAAAATATATGTATTTTATATAGTATAAAGCAGGGAACAGAGTTTCATATTTATATTTATTTACATAGGAAAAGCACACACCCCCCACCCACACACAGACAGCAGGGCTGGCGGAGGGGAGGGGAGTAGAGGGGAAGTGACTCTCGGAAAGTTTATGAGGCTTGGTCCGTCCGCTTCTCATTTTTTTCTTTTTTTAGTCAAACGCCAAATGGCGACAGTAATGGCGGCGTCAAAAGCGGAAATGCCCCTGAGCTGTGGTGGCAGGCAACATCAAAGGACACTGAAAGCTCATATATTGCGTAGCGGAGGAGGTGGTGCTGTGGGTAGTGAGAGACGGTCTGAGGCAGAGGCAGAGGCAGAGGCAGAGGTATAACAAAGCGCATAGTGAGAGTAGTTAAAATAGCCCTTGACTAATGAGGGAGCTACAGGACCCACCAGAAAGCTATATTCTAAGGAATTCTTTAAAAAAGACTACTGAATCCCCTGCTGCCAGGGGATATTTCAATATACGTCAACTTCCATTGTACTCGTAAGTTTTCCAATAAGCCATATGGTAATGTCAAATGTTTCTTGTGATCCTACATTGCGTATACTCCAACCGACCTCTGACTGGAGCAGGTGTGATTGAAGCCTGTGTGACATCTGAGGAAGAGTGAAATAAATAATAAGAGTAAACATTTGCATTGCTTTGCAGAGCTCAGCACATCCTCTCCCCCTGTTGACTTTGCAATCTTCAGAGTGCGGTCAAGCATTTTGTAATAATATTTATGCTGATTTCGATTTCGATTTCGACTCCGATTCTTATTCTGTTGAGTAAGCATACGAGTATATGTGTATTCCAGGGGGAGATTCAATTGCCATCGAGGGGGAGCAGAGAGCAGAGAGCAGCGAGAAGAGCTACCCTCCAGCCGCCATCAAATGCAAAGTTTTCGGGGTAGTTCAAGTAGAATTTATGAAACAATTTTCAAGTGGGTGAAGGGTAGCAGTGTGGCAGTGTAGCACGGTAGCAGGGGAGCAGGGGAGCAGCTTATCATAAGCAATAAACGCTAATGGATGAGCTTAATGTCGGTCAAGAGGGGGTGGCCGGGGGGCAACCTCAAATCTCTCCCCCAGAGTGGTTCTGGTCCTGGTTCGGGTTCTGGTTCTGGTTCTGGCTACCCTTTCCAAGTACACTTGAAGTTTCACCCTCAGCAAAGGTGACAAAAGATATCGCAATTTTATGAGTAATCCTCTGACACTCCTGACAAGGACATGCACTGATTACAGTGCCCTGCCGGGCACTCCCCTTTCTCACTGGGCAAGTGGTAATAAAATTTTCACTTCCAGATAGATTTTAGCATTGTCCCCGCTTACAGCAGATAATACGAGTGTGTATGTCCCTCGGCATGTTGGTGTTTGTGTTGGTGTTGCTGTTGGTGCTGGTGTGTATGTTTGTGGGGCTATCCTGGCTGTATATCCTTTCCATTGTTCCCCTGTCTGTGTGTCTGCGAACTCGGATGTTGTTTGTGAGTCATATTAAAAAGTAACGAGCAAAATATTACGAAGCCAGACAACAGGCATTTCCGGCAGGAGAACACCCGGCAGGAGAGAGACGAGACGAGACGAGACGCGTCCTCGCCTCCGTCCAATATTGGATTCACACGATGCAATGTTTTGTGAAGGATACTGCCAGGCACAGCTTAACTCTTGTTCATTGCCCGTTGCTGTTTGACTGCCAGCCAGCCAGCCAGCCAGCCAGGCAGCCAGCCAGGCAGCCAGCCCCAGTTTCTCCCAGTTTGAGGTCCAGGTCCAGGTCCAGGTCCAGCCACAGACCCCTCATATTCGTATTATATTGTACTCCGGAGCCAGACAAGTCTGCATTGCTGCATGTACTCGTAACATGTACCATGTACCAAGTCCTGTGTCGGATCGCCCCGAGGTTATCTCATTGTCTGCCCAGGGGGCGCAGGGAGAACCATGGACAGCCCGGGTCCTGGCATTATTAATAACCATAACTCAAATCTATTGCCGCTTTACTGCTCATTGATTCTGTTTATGGCCATGATTTCGTCAGTTCTTTTTGTTTGCCTCCCCTTTCCCCTCCTTGGCGGCATGGCGTTTTGAAAAGTTTTGATTTGACCCTAAAGAATGGTTCTGAGGGGTTGCCTTGTGGGCAGAGTGGATATGGGGAATACTCGCATGGAGCTGTGATAGCTTTGTCGAGTCCTCAACGATGTGCAGACTCTTCACTCTTCATCTGTGAGACATTGGGGAGCTGCTTGAATATTGAACATGAGAAATACTGTAAGATGCCAAGGGAAACGTTATTATCTGTAGAATAGAACTCAGTTTATAACTGCCTAAAATTTATACAAGAAATTATACATAGCGGACTGTTTTTTACGTTATTTTGATCCATGCGATCCAAAGTAAAAATTCAAGGAATTTTGAAGTAAGAAGCAACTTGGGAACCCAACTGTTTCCTTAGCAGAGCCACGAGAGTCCCCTTCAAACAGCCAAAGGCTTCTTTCTCCATCGCCTTTGGCCAAGTCTTCTTTTGGCTTATCATCCAAAGCTAACACTGCTGATATGCCAGAACCGCTACTGCCACTGCCACTGCCACTGCCACTGCCAACTGGCCCTCTGCGCCAAGTTTTAATTGTGCTCATATCTCAAGAACTCTTCTGGATCGCTTCGCTGCTTCGCTGCTTGGGCCAAAGTTTGCATTTTGGCCATTTGTGTGTGGGGCGCAAACTTTTTTGGGGCTCACACACACAGACACACACACACACACATTCAAATTGCTCAACAATCCATGTTGCCATTTTACAACACTTGAAATTTCTATTGGACATTCGGCTGTCGCTTTTTTTTCTTCAGCTGTTTTTCGGCTTAGAGCCCGCTCTCTGGATGTTGACTTTTACTTTGGCAGTGAAGTGGAGAGCGCTGCAGAGAGAGGCTGGGTGTATAATTTCAATGCTCACTGTCGTAAATAGCATAAGCGCTGTTAGAGAGAGAGAGAGAGGGAGAGAGAGAGAGCGAGAAAGAGGAAGAGAAAACGATGAGTATTTTCTTAATTTTCTTGCACTTCCTGCAGCCCGGCAAAAGTTTTCGCAGCTCCTTCCAGCTAGAATCATCATCAGCAGCAGCAGCAGAAGCTTTTCCGTTTGTCAGAGTAAGCCGTATCAGAAGTGAGTGAGTGAGGTAGAGGGGAGAGTCGAGAGGAGAGAGGGGAGGGACTGAGGGACAGCACCAACATTAAAGTATTATGCAAGCGTATTAATGCACTCAACGGACACCGAAGACACGACAGCGCCGGACGGACAGGGCTAGGAGCAGAACGGAGCAGAACGGTGCAGAACGGAACGGAACGGAACGGAAAAGTGACCAGGCAGCAGTGCAATGATAAGCTGCAAGTCAGGATGCAGGCAGAAGTGGCAGAGCATTGCAGGGCAGGGAAGGGAAGGGTAGGGGAAGGGCAGCGGGCGGAGGTCTCACAGCATGTGACGCGGCTAAAGGAAAAACCATCTCAAGCTAAAGTTTTCCACCAGCAGGAAACATCTTTGGCCCCAGCCGGCACTCCCTCTCGCTGCATCCTCTGGCATTTGTCAGTCCGTGGCTGATTTAGAAAGGGAATACATTACATTAATTGAGAAAACCCCACCAGCACAGACAAGCAGCCATAATGGAGAGACAACAGTTTAATATTCCACAATCCTCCAGGCATCCTCTATTAAACGCTTTGGTTATTCATTCGGCCAGCACACCATCAGACCGGGCTTAATCCAATTAAGCGGAAACTCTCCGGAAACCCCCTGAGACATATGGCGGCTCACGTCAAGCCAAGTCCCCGTAGTGGCCGCACGAGCACTGGTGTGGTGTGGCATGGCCTGTTGTTGTATTGTATTGTATTTCATTGTGTTGCGTGGCGTTGTCTTGTCAACTGTCAAATTGAATTCGGGCCTATCCCCCCTGTGTTCCCCTGTATCCCCCTGTATCCCCCTGTATCCTACGTAGTACGTATGTACATATGTCCGGGATATGCCAATTCCCAAATGCATTTCGACTAGACACCCAAACCTCGGCCTCTGCTTGCTGCCTTAAACGTTCCAGCATTTACTTGATGCATGATAGATGAGAAGCATTTGCTAACCGCAGATATTATATACCTAAATTGCAGAAGAGTTTGGACCATCAAATAGCTACGCAGAACTGATTTACTGTCTTCATTTATTAGTCAGATGGAAGAGCCAAGAACCATAAAGAACGCACGCCGAAACAACAACAATTTTTTTAATTTTAAAACATTTATAATAATATATAATAAAAAATGCATTTAATGGATTCCTTGGAATGACTTTGTGGCTGCCAGCATCATAGATAAGTAAGCTCCATTGGCTATATAACGTACATATGTACATTGTACATATATACTTCCGATAAGCTCCCACCTATCTCTCGGTTACATATTGATTTTCGGAAGCAAGTAAATTAATACAAATGGTACGGCAGATACGCCTAGGGAATCATTACTTCGCTTTGCTGCTTCCAGAGGGGTTGTATTATCTTTTGGAAAGCAATGAAATTCCTCATTGTCCTTCTCCTGGCCGTGGCCCTGAACACAGCCCTCAGTGTGGAGGTGGTGGAAAAATTGGTAAGACAAACACAAACATGATTCGGCGATAATTTATTCATTTATTTATTAAATTTAAAGGAGTTTGATATCTTCAAAACCGAAACGACACGCAAATTTGAGGTGATTACATTGAAATTAGATGAAATATTGAAGCAAAATAGGCTTGGACCTCCCGGACGGACCGCCGATATTAGACTTATCGGTACACCCGGTGTACCAGGTCCTGTAGGACCTCCCGGACTTATCGGTATACCCGGTGTACCTGGTCCTGTAGGACCTCCCGGACTTATCGGTATACCCGGTGTGCCTGGTCCTGTAGGACATCCCGGACTTATCGGTATACCCGGTGTGCCTGGTCCTGTAGGACCTCCCGGACTTATCGGTATACCCGGTGTGCCTGGTCCTGTAGGACCTCCCGGACTTATCGGTATACCCGGTGAACCTGGTCCTGTAGGACCTCCCGGACTTATCGGTATACCCGGTGTGCCTGGTCCTGTAGGACATCCCGGACTTATCGGTATACCCGGTGTACCTGGTCCTGTAGGACATCCCGGACTTATCGGTATACCCGGTGTACCTGGTCCTGTAGGACCTCCCGGACTTATCGGTATACCCGGTGAACCTGGTCCTGTAGGACCTCCCGGACTTATCGGTATACCCGGTGTGCCTGGTCCTGTAGGACATCCCGGACTTATCGGTACACCCGGTGTACCAGGTCCTGTAGGACCTCCCGGACTTATCGGTATACCCGGTGTGCCTGGTCCTGTAGGACCTCCCGGATGGCCCGGCCCTTATGGACCTCGCGGATATCCCGGGTTGCGAACTGGAGACGATTTGGAGTAGTGGGCGGTTCAGTTCTGCTCCGCTCCCCACAGTTTGATGTAGTTCCAGATTGATTTATGTTCTCCTGTGGTCGTCCGCATCGTCATGGTCCCAGCTGCGGAGGCGTCACAGCTGTAGGGAAGGAAATATATAAAAAAAAAGTAAAATGAATTCTGTTTTCCTTTGTCACTTGTTGGGAAATTAGTTTTTTGAGTCAAGTTGTGTGTGTTTCTGGGCTGGACGCACATGTGATTTGATTGGGGAAACCGAATCGAAAAGTCATTTATTTTGAAGCCCAGTATGTGTCTCTGCTCTGGATCTTCGGGTGGGAGGCGTTCACTTCTTCTTCGGCCTGTCCACTTGACATATTTTTACGGTTGAAAAGTTGTGCCGTGCCCTGCCGTGCCGTGCCGTGCCATTCGCTCGTTCGCTCGTTCATTCCTTCATTCGTTGATTCGTTTATTCATTCATCAATCAGCGTACGCGACACAGCATGAAAAATGTCACTGGAGTGCGGCATCAAAGTGCCGGCAGCAACGCACTGACGGATGTACAGACCCCAGAAGTACCCAGGGATATTCTCAGCCCCCCATCGAATGGTTCATACTGTAGAGGGTATTCGCCGCAAACACTTTCCCACCTCCAGTGCCACTTGAATAACTTTTCCTCTTGACTTTACCCATTCGATGCGATGCGATGCGCTGCGTCGTGAAAATTGGCAAGTCACTTTTCAGCATTTTCCGCGAGCCGTGAAGCAATCAATATTGATTGCATAATGAATGACAATCAGCGCTGTGCCTGACAGCTTCCCAGACCCAAGACGCAGACACCCTCGCAATAGTTCATAGTTCTCATTTTGGAGGGTTCCGCCGCGCGCGGTGGCACCATTGCGTGGCACGTGTGCTGACCTGTGGCATTCTAATTGCGTTTGCCGAAACAGTCTTTCAAAAGTTCAATTGGGAAAAGCTGTATAAAGCATTCCATTCCGGGCCAAGATGATTCAATTGACATTCCAAGTGCCCCCACTTGGATGGGAGATAGGAGATGGAGATGGAGATGGAGATGGGAGCCAAGCGGATGCTCGACGATGGCGTTCATGTGAACGTCCGCTTGCCGGCTGCCGTCTCGTTCCGTCCAGCTGGCCCAGCTGGTCCAGTTCCAGTCCTCTCCACTACTTCTCTTTACAGTGCCGTCCAGTCATCCAGTCCGGCCACACAATGGACCGCCACTTGGCTGGTCTCTGTCACGGCCAACAATGGTCGCAAATGTCTCGACTGAAGCGCTCTGCCTCTCTCCCTCTCTCCCTCACTGTCCGTCTATCTGTCTGTCTGTCTGTCTGGTCTCTTTCCTCTTTTTGCCCTGTTTTTGTTAACTTTTCAAGCTCGGTTCGCTGGCTCTTGGTTCGCTGGCCAGTCTACGTGCTCGGCGTGTTGGCCTCGGTTTGTTTTCTGCTGGTTTCATTTTGTTGCAGTTTGTTTTGTGCTTTGTTGGCTGCCACTGCGCCCTGTTTTAGCCGCTGACGTTACCTGCTGCCATTTCTTGGCCATACTCTGCCGAGAAATAGTGTCCCTAACACGAGTTAGCCCATGAAGGATTAACCGAATTAAAAATGAACATTTTTTAATTGGCATTCATTATCTGAACTCATAATGAATTCGGATTTAGTTGCTTGTTTTTATTCATATAATTTCCTATCTATTTTATGGCATTTTCTCAAGATTTTCGTAAAATTGCGGGGACCATTATTTTTAAGGCCTGCGATTTTCATTTGTTTCCTTCAGTTTCCTTCAGATTCAGATGCGAACAAATTTGTGAAGGGTATTTCCGAATCGTCCATTTATCAAATGGGGGCTATCTTCTCCATTTCTGCTTCCTGTGGCATGTGTGTGTGTGTGTGTGTGTGTGCTGTGCCCCTCTATAGCATTGAATTGACTGTTTTTTGTGTATTTGTGCTATTTTTAAAATTGAACACATTTCCGTTTGAAATATACGACTTTTTTCTTGCCGCTCTTTCTTCTCTCCATCAACGTGGCGTTCCGTTCATTTCCTGTTTGTTACGGTCGGGAATCGCAACTCTCTCGAGCGAACGGAGCAGCGTCGAGCAGCGTTTGCCCTATTCGGTTGGGGCCAACTTTAAACAGAAACAAGAAGCAGAGGCATAACTATTAGAAAGGTAAACAGCACCAGCACCAGCACCTGGCTGCACCTGGCTGCTCATGGCTGCTCCTGGCTGCAGATGCATTTAAATATTCTCTCGGAAAGATAAATGCAAATACTGCAAATTGCTTTATGCATGTTTAAAATCAATTAATGAAATGCAAATCGTTTGATTTACCTTCCCAAGTGTCCTTTTTGTGGCTGGTTTTCTTTGGTTTGGGGGCTTCGGGCCGGCAAGAATGTGAGCCGTGAGCAACCAGAAAAATTTCAATTTAATGAATTTCACATTCCCTTTGTGTCCGTTATTACTATTTTATTATCATTCAGGCATGCTCTATTGCGCCGGACAAAGGTTTTATTTAAACGAAATCAATTTTGTTAACTTTTATTGAATTTTTCATTGGGTTCAGCCAATTAAACACTATGGCTTTCGCTCCGACTTTTTGCACAGTTCCGGCTTTGTTTTTTGCGCTCCCACCATGTTTTTGTCCATCATCATTGTTGAGGAATGTCCCTGACAATCGGAAGAGATGAAAGGCTGTACAGTTCAGGTACCTACACTGCAGTGCACTGCCGCTGACTTGAATAGCGAGCCCCTCCGCTCCGCTCCACCGACCACCCACCAATTTTTCATAGAGAAAGTAGGATTTCTTCCAACCAAAATGGTTTAAAAATTCTGCTTGATTTTTTTTTATTTTAGTATAATTAAATATTAAACTATTAAATTATATAAAACTATGTTTATAATAATTTATGAATTAAATTAATAAATGTAATTTATTTTCGCACTTATATTTGATTATTTTATTTCTTAGGTATGCGGGTACCCCATCGTAGCAAAGATGACAATTGTGCCATCGCGATGCATCGTTTATGCCATCGAATGGAGCCTGTGCAATTTCCTCAATTCCAAGGACTTCTACGCAGTCTCGCCCGTTGCCCTTAAATTCCTTTGCAGAATTCACTGAATTGCAGGAGCTCCGGCAGCAGGCTCTCTGCGTGTCCCGCGGCCGGCCAGGTGCTGGTCATTTCAACTTTGACCTGTCATAGTCAGCGTTTTAAATACTCGTACCCGTGCCCGTGCCCGTGCCCGTACCCGTACTCGTACTCGAATACTCATACATTTACATGTACATGTACTCGGGCATATTTTTCCCAATGCTTTTTTTGCTTGCCACACTTGCCACGCTACATAAAATAAATATTTTAACAAGTGTTATTTTAATTGCGTGCAACTGCAACGTGCAACCCAACATTTGCAGCGTGTTGTTCTTGCCGCCGCTGTTATTTACCTTTGACTGTTGTTGTAATGCCCACATGCCACAGAGAGAGCTCTGTGAGTGCGAGTGCGAGTGGGAGTGTGTGCCATGGTGGGGCATGGTATGGCTCGTATGGATGCCATGGATCGGATCGTGTGCTGCGTGAGGTCGCATAACTTTTTGGCTGAAAGGCAAACTCGAACGCATTCCAGAAACTGCAACTGGGACTGAGGTTGGGGCCGAGGTTCAAACCTCTTTATCTGATTAACGCTGCTGGCAGCCAGCACGGCTGCATAAAAATTCCCGCCATTCGCATTTAATTTTCTCGGCCCGACCAAAGGAGAAGTTTTCACTTTGTCACCTTCCCCTTTTCGCGCTCACTCGCTCGCTGGCTGCATAAATCAATTCAATTTGTAATAAATTTCAAAACTTTTCATTTTATATTAATTTTGATGCCAGCCAACGCCTGTCTTTGCCGACGTCGTCGCCTTCCCCGTGGATCTCCTTTGGCTGCCGCAAGAAATCAATTTAATTCTAATAAAATAAGTGAGGGAAAAGTTGCGGCATCCTCTTCAGCCTTATCGCATGCAAGGCGCTTCTTCCTTTCTCTCTGTCTCTCTCTCTCTCTCTCGCCCTCTTCCTCTGTCTCTTGTCTCTGAAGCATATTTGTGCGTCCCACTTTTGCACACTTTCTATTGTCCTTCTCTGGTCTCCGGCATGGGTCTTCCTTTGGCTCCGTCTCCGTCTCCATCTCCGTCCCTGGGCCTTGCTCCTCGGCCTGACTGCAGCTTAACAAATTGACTTTCTCCGGTCGAGGAGCGCCGCCTGGGCTTTCTTTTTACTCATTTTTCCTGCTGCATACTTACGTGCGACCTGCTCGGGCCCCTCTTCTTTTATTATGATTATCGGCTGAGTTATTGCTGCAGGCAGCCGCAGGGCCGTCCATGTCCAGGGCCGGGAAGGTCCTTTTTATGGCCTGTCTGGTCGCATTGTCGTCACTTTGTCGTCGATGCCGGTTAGTCCACATAATAATATCCAGTGCCAATTTTTATTTCTTTTTCCTTTGCTGACAAATTAATTCATCTTGATTGTGCGGGTGGGTAGGTCTCACAGAAGGAAACATCCTGTTACTCAGTTTTTCAGCATTGGAAAGGTGGGTGGATGCATTCCTTCGTTTTATGATCGGTAATGATTCGAAGTAGGATAAGAGCATCTTATGCCCCGGTAGAGCTATCATTTTGTCTAAACTCAGACAAAAACAGCCGATATTTACCCATATTTCAGTTTAATATACGGTTTTTAAATACAAATAAATGAAGTTGAAAAGAAGGAGAGCTTGAGAGTCGATTGTGAATTATGTTAGAGTCCAGAAGACCTTAAAGAGGTCATATGTGATATAAATAGTTTATTAAATCCTGTTCTAATTCACCCTCACCTTTAACACTTAATTTAACATAATTTGTCGTATTAAATGAACTTTATATCCGCCCTCCCACGGCCTGCCTTTATCTCTGCCAGCGCCCACAGAAACTGTGCAATGAACTTTGGATTTTAATAAAGTGCACCCTCTGCCGGCACAGGCACAGGCCAGCGCCCCTTTCCTTCCCTGCCACACGCCTTAATGATGGAAAAAAAAGGATAGCCGAACTGCATACGCGTCTGGGCGGCGATAGCTAACACTGAAAGCATATCCTTTTGTGTGTGTGTGAAAAAGGTGAAATGAAAAAAACAACTAA